CCTTCGGAGGCGTGCGTCCAGGAATGATGTTTCTTTATCACTCTGATCCGAATCAGCTGTCTCCTCTCCCTCGGCCGGCACTTGAGACAATGCCAGAGGGGAGGGGCCTGGAGAGGGAGGCCTGGCTGACTCCTCTTCCTCATGCTCGGAGCTTTCTTCCTCCGATGGGACACGCTCAGAGGGCGGGGCCACAACAAAGTGAGCATTTGTTACCATTATGAGACTCTTGAGATTCTTATAGAAACCTAGGGTTCCATAGGTCACAGCTTGAGAAGCCTGGTTTAAATCATTAAACTAAATCTTGTAGACCAGTACCTTAAATCAGGATTTAAACTATATATCTATATATCTACATCTATATATCTACATTTAATATCCCTCTCCCTCTCCCTCTCCCTCTCTCTCTTGGAATTCTGAAATAACCTTAGCAAAATGATTCTCTGGTAAGCTTTCTACATTCAATACAAGAGAGATGCAGCAGCAAAAAAAGACCTTTATAAATCTAAAAATCAAAGATTTAAATATAAAAATACCAGTAGAGGGTGCTACTTTGATATGTATAAATAAAAGCAGCAACACCAAATGAAAATGGAGTAACCCTAATATTCATAATTTAACATTCCTACCACATCCTTTCAAAAGACAATTCCTTTCTGTTCTTTACTGCAAAGGAATGCTATAATTAGATACAGTAAACTAGAACATCAGAGGACAACCATTTGGAATCCGGATTAGAGTAATAAACAAGAAAGGGTAAAATTACATTACAGCCTGAAAAGATCCTAAATCTCCGACTGACGCAGCTTCTTTCCAAAATTTCATTATTGTAGGAACAATGGAAACCTACTGCTGAAGTCATCGTAGACCAGACATCACAGCAACATTTAAAACAAACAAACAAAAAAGCTGCAGACTATTGTCATGAACTTCTAACCACAAATTTAAGGGCAAACCCTGGCAAATGAAAACTTTAGAAGTGTTCGGAATGATACAGCTGTTATGGGAAAATATCAAGCTTTCAGAATCAGTCACCGTTATCTTCAAAAGTCTTAATTTACTTTCCATCGGCTAAAAATGTCATACAAAAAAGAGCTGTAGAACCAAGGACCATCCCAAAATAGAATAGTAAGTCTTTAGATCATCTTGCCGATGAATTAGCATAATTTGGTCGGCCAAAAAGAAATAGTACAAACAAAACAGTCTATAGAACTAGAGGAAACACTGAAATAAAAGTGAATCTACCAGCATCCAATTTCACTGCGGCTATGAATTCTTGTTGACAACATTTTACTGACCTATACCAAGGAAAATATTAAACATATATAACAGAGCAGTCCCTTTTGACTTCATGCATGTTTGAATGAAACACGTTAAAGTGGCATTATAAACATACCAAACCGGTTTATTAACTGCAAATGAGAAAAGTGATAGAAGAGAATAAGGAGAAAGCTGTGTCCCTCTCTCATTTAACCTACAATTTCCTACATTCTCACTATTGCTACTCCTGAATGTCCCTTGAATTGCTGATCCTTTACTCTACTATGTTCCAGTATTTCCTTTGTTCTTCTCTTCATCAATTATTCCTTTTCCTAAGCCACCCAGAAATTATTCTACTGTTGTCCACATGGTGTCACCAATTACTATGTTTAATATTTGAATTACATAAATGAAACATCAGAATTGTTATCACATAAAAATGACATACTTATTAAGTGGACAGGTTATGCTCTTCCAAACGTAACTCTGGATAAAGCTTCCAGAGTTCTCCAAATTGCCCCTGGACTGTAATTTTAATGTAACTCAAATGGTTAATAATTACATTGGACACTTGTTTGTTAATTATACTTATTTAACTTATAACAAATTTAAATGTTTAATTTTTGTCTGGATGCCACCTATTTTTTCATTCTAATATTTACTATGTCAGTATTCATATCTCAAAATAAAATTAAGTCTCTTAGTCCCAAAAGCATTAGGCACTAATATTGGGCCATTTCACTGTGTGCTTTATTTATTTACTAAATATCAACTAAATATTTTAGTTATGTTCAGGAGTTAACTACAATCAAGATGATATATTTTTCTGTAAAAGTTAGAAAAAATTTAGGTGTATTGGAAATATTTTCTACTCGTTCTAGGAAAAAAGAAATTTTAAAAAGAAACCTGAAGTTGGCTCTATAACAGTGCATTAAGCAAAATGAATTCCAGCTGGATTTTAAAAATATATTAGATTTTTAAGGCAAAGATATTTTTAAATTAAGTTCCTGGATGACAATATTTAATTTTAATAGTTTACATAGGAAATCAATTAAAGCTTCCTTGGTGCTTGTACTGAGAAAGAGCATTAGTTACACTAATGTATAAAAATGAAAAAATGGGAGAAATTACATATCTTTCTATGTGTGCTTCTCTCTTGACAAATAAAGTGCTCAAAGAAGGATCATTTAGAGCACGGGTATCAAACCCGCGGCATCACGTTGGCATCACATGACATTTCGCGATGTTTTTCCCTTTAAGGAGCTGGGGTGGGTGTGGCCTGCACATGACTCATCTGGCCCATGGGCTACCAGATTGACACCCCTGATTTAGAGTAACCAAAAACTACAGATAAAAAGCACCTAGCAAACTATTGCAGATGCCTAGAAATCTAGCCGGGCAACATCAAAATGATGTTACTATACTGGACTGAGTCCAATTTATTGATAAAAGGGAAGTTAGTAGATACACCTTATTTAGTAAGATTTGTACACAAACATTCTATTTATTGTTACAAATAAATCTTTCAAGAGTTGTTCTTTCCAAACCCAAACATTTCTCCATTTTCCGAATCATATTTTATTTAACTTGACAAGTAATTTATAAGTCAGACACAATCTAGGCATAGCAATATAATCCCAAATTTGCTGTATTAACTGAATGTTCATGTTTTCTAAACTCTGTATGAAATAAGAGCTTTAGAAAAGTAATATAGCCAAATTCTCCCTCCTGAAAAATCTAGGTAAATATGCTATAATCACTTCTTTCTGAGTTCACACTTACTTTTTACAAGGACAAAATATGAGACGCTTATAAATTACTTTTACCAAATACATTTCTAATTACATCAAGTTACAAAAAGTCTTTCATCCAGTATTATGTCACTGGACTCTTCTAATGATCTCTTCCTGTCCATCCCTTAGTCTATTACCTTAAATATTATTTTCAACGCTCTCTCATTTCTTTAAGCATGTAAGTGCGCAGAACTGATGAGATAACACATTTGTACCAATTGTAGGGTGCTACTCCGCCCTTTATATTAAACATTGTTTTGCCCAAGGGAAAGAACATGAAGATTTTTTTTTCACCCAATTTATTTATTAACCATTTTTTAAAGATGGGAAATTTAAACATTGCTTCAGCTGGTATGTCATGGAGAAACAAAGCCATCTCTTTTTCTATTTATTTGTGGAATTAGTGACAAAGTTTTAGTTGCAAAATAAGGCAACAGAGTAAAAAATTAAATGCATATCCAAACTTAACAGATAGTCCAGAAGTGATGAACAAGAAAGAAAGAAAGAAAGAAAGAAAGAAAGAAAGAAAGAAAGAAAGAGAAAGAAAAAGAAAGAAAGAAAGAAAGAAAGAAAGAAAGAGGGAGGGAGGGAGGGAGGGAGGGAGGGAGGGAAGGAGAAGAAAGAAAGAAAGAAAGAAAGAAAGAAAGAAAGAAAGAAAGAAAGAAAGAAAGAAAGAAAGAAAGAAAGAAAGAAAGAAAGAAAGAAAGAGAAAGAACCAGGACCAAGAATATTTTTTGGACCCTTTTGGAGAAGGAGTCAGAATCTTACTATTCCAAATTGCCCAAGTAGACCAAGAAAAATGAGCAAGCAAGCATGGATTTGAGATAATGAGCAGTGTATCTTTGATAACTGATCAATCAGGAGCTTTACACCTGTCCTCAATAGGTCTATAAAGTTCAACATTAGGCAGTCAAGATTCAGGGGGAGTAACAACAACAAAATTGCAAAGCCCAATTTTTTCTTTCTTATCACCTTATCTGCTTCTAATCTTCAAGTTTCCAATTGGACGAGCCCTATAACATGTTGAAAAATCTTGGTATTCTGAAAGGTAACACCAATTTTTATGAATTACTTTTTAATTTTAAAATTAAATCAATTTTAATGTACCTGCTTTTTATAGTGCAGCATCCAATGTGCAGCACTGAACCTAAGTGTCAACCCTGAAGTACACAACTCTGGCATGTAAGGTATCTATTCAAACAATAGCTGACTTCAAAAATTTGTGCTAAACATAACAGTCATGAACCATGGTTTGTAAACTACAACTTTGGATGGGTTCACACTTTATGCTACGCCAAAAATAAACAAAGTGCATTGTGACTTCTCCAACTGTGGCAAATACAAGTAGTCCTCAACTTACAGCAGCTTGTTTAGTGACTGTTCAAAGTTACAACGGCACTGAAAAAAGTTACTTATGACAATTTTTCATGGTTATGACCTTTCCAATATCCTCATGATTATGTGATCAAAATTCAGATGCTTGGCATCTGATTCATATATATGACCGTTGCTATGTCCCAAGGTCATGTCTTTTGTGATCTTTTGACAAGTTAAATCAATGGGGAAGCCAGATTCACTTAACCAGCTTATCAACTGCAGTGATTCACTTAACAACTGAGGCAAGAAAGGGCGAAAATGGGGCAACACTTAACAGATGTCTCACTTAACAACATAGTTTTTGGGCTCAACTGTGGTCGTAAGTCGAGGACTACCTGTAAGGTAAAAATGTCAGACAAGCAGTTTATCCATATTTATCTGTTAAAATGTATAGACAATTAATTTCAGGTATTAAATCAGAAGCATAAAAAGTAGGATATTCTTTCCCACCCACCCCCAAAATTCAACAAGGCAGTAATGAAGCCGGAATGAAAGGAATTGCAAAGGATGGCCATTTGGAAACTATTTTGTTCACTAAATAGTATGGAACTTCAAGTGCATCTTTCTAGTTACCTGGAGATTTTTTGCTTACTCTTGTCTGCATCAAATAAGCATGACGAGGCAACAAAGGTGATGATGGCAAGGAGACTGAAACTCCTTTGGCCAAATTCATTCTGTAGACATCTTCAGATAGAGGTTGGATGCCACTTTGACAATCTGCACTGTGGCCAGATGTGGATATGATCTGCGGTACATTTTCTGAACATGAATCACCTAAAACAAACAAGTGAAAAATTAAGCTACTTAGCAAATGAAATCTCATAAGTCCTACAAAATTGATCAGAGCTGTATGATATAGGACACGTATCTCTTTGATGTACTGGCAACAGAGCAAAAATTAATTTTAGTGGCACTGGTCGCAAGAGAGAACTAGAAACAAAAATAGTTAGTAAACAGGAGAAACTTTGCTTCAGGTTCTAAGAATTAGAACAAAAAGGTTTACATTAGTTTGTTTTGTACTGAAATCATGTTGCTACACCAGTGTCAAACTCTTAAATCTGAATTAGCACACATGATGTCAAAGAAAAAAAAGCTATTCCAGGTATTTTGCTAGGAACTGGACCACTGCTTTGTTCTTCATGTTTATCCTGTTCACTTGAAAAAATATTTATTTATTAAATTAATACAGTGCCATCTCACTCTGAAAAGCAACTGTAGGCGACTTATAATTAATATCATAAATAAAGTATTAAAAATATTAAATAAATCAAATACAAAAGCAACATTGTATTTGTTTTCTTATAGCACGGCTGTAACATTTATCTCTAAAGAGAGCCAGTTAGCCAGTAGTGATTAAGGCACTAAGCTAGAGACCATAACTCCTGGTCCTGCCCTGCCAATTGGGCCAGTCACTTTTTCTCAGCCCTAGGAAGCAGGAAATAGCAAACCATTTCTGAAATATTGCCATCTGTAAGCACTTATCCAGACAGTCAACACTGATTTGGAGATACACACACAAAAATACAACTCTTCCAAACTATTAGCTCTATTGGTATTAAATAAAGATTAAAAATAAAAAAAATAAATATTAAAATATTAAAAGAATAACTATTAAAATTATACTGAAGAATAAAGACTAAGGTTAAGAAGCTATTTTTGGCATGCTGGATGTAGCATTTTAAAATTATATACCACAGATTATTTTTACAAGAAGGCCATGGCAAGGGGACAAGCTCCTTGATCATCCTTAGTCTCAAACACTTAGAAAGAGCATCTGCAAGGATTTTGCTGTCCTAACCTCAAAAGAAGACTTGGCTCCAAGAGCCAGTTGCCATAGGATGCCAGAACCGGAGAGAAGGATATGCTGTCTCCATTCATCATCCAAAGAACTGCTAGGAGGTGGGAAAGTTTGTTTTGTTTTACAGCAGTTTGTTGCAGAAGACCAACTATAAATCTTCAAAATAAATAGAACTTGGAAGCCTTGCAACAAAATGTTGTAGTAAAGTTTTTTCCCAAATTACATCAACTCAGTACTTCTTTCTCTTGCTGAAATCTGTCACTAATTCTGAGGCTTGTAATTCCACCACATCTGGAGGGCATTGGGCTAGGGAAAGCTGATCTGGTATCTTGTTGCTAGGTCTGTATATTTCGTAGAATTAATGACAGAACAGTCCCACAATCACATTCTACAGCTGCCAATTTCTAGCCGCTGAATCATTAATTACATGCACACCAATAAATCAGTTTAACAGTTTGTATGTTTTACATCTTGTATACCGGTAGTACTTTATAACAGAAGACTTAGATTCGGATAAAGTAGAGAGAAAAAATAAGCCTTTTAAGAAAATTAAGTACTAGTAACTCATCCTCAAATACAGATATTAACAAAATTAGGCTTTTTCCACCTATATTCAGCCTCTTTCTGTTTAGTTTCACCTCAATCAACAAATAGCCAGAAGCAAAGTCTCTAAAATGTCTTTATTAGGACTAACCAAAATAACAACAACAACAAAACATATACAGGTCTTTTAGTTTTCTAGTATTTTTATAGTTAGGAAGGATGCTAGAAAAAAATAACTGGAAACAAGACATAAAATTTACAAAACACAGTCATAAGGTGTTTAAGTCATAAGGTTTCCAGTGCAAAGTCAGCACAAAGCTAAAGACTAGAGCAGGGGTGTCAAACTCGTGGTCCGCGAGTCAGATGCATCATGCGCTGGCCATGCCCACCTGCATTTTAGCGAAGGGGGGAGAAAGTCACAATACGTCATATGACGACAACGTAAGGATGCGACTTTGACACCCCTAGACTAGAGACTGAATCAGTATGACCTTATCTGTCCTAGTAAAGATAATGCCCAGCTATGGATGCTTAACAATGTTTCTCTTTATTTAAATCATAATATTTTCATCTGTGTTAAGAGCAACAGCTATGGAATATGATTGTGCTGTTGTCATGTGCAAGTATGGATGGGGGCACTTTAATAATCTGGCCCCGAAAATATATATTACACAAACTTTTTTCATTGACGTAGGGAAGTTTCTCTGATTCACAGCATATTCCTGATTATTTGAATAAAAACATTATTATAATATTATGTTCTGGTTTTGTTAAGCAAGAGCAGCCATCATCCATGTGTATTACAACTACTATTGATTCCATAAGCTGAGATATTAATGACTACCAAAGTTGTGTGCTCTTTTCAACACAACGTAACTAAACATGGGAAAGGGGTGTTGGTCCTATCTGAGACGCCCATTTTCAGACAGTGTGAAGAAACTCCAGACATGGGTATCACTCTTGTTCTATAGCTCTATAGACTGAGTCTAAACTGAAGAAATGCCCTCTGCTGAAGCTCCCCCGTTTCAACGATGTTACAGCGATGTCTCATAACGTAGTATCTGCAACAACACCCCAAAGATACCCTGGACCAGACCCTCCTTAGAATAGGTCTGGAGTCTCTTCACACCGTCTGAAAATGGGCATCTCAGGTAGGACCAATGCCCCTTTTCCAGCACAGTGCTCTGAGACTCCAGGCATGGGACATACGAAAGCTGACTGTCCTCACGGGAATGTACCTGTTTGTTCTGGCTCACCGGTCATTCCCAGTACTCGCTGAAGAACTCTCAATGTGGCGTCCGCCGTGAATTCCACTGCAGCTACAATCTTGTTGAAATCCTGGAGAGTCCGCGGATCACTGGGTGGTACTCTTTCCTGCATCTGCTTCAACCAAAGCAAAGACACTCTGGTGAAAAAAGAAGCGGCCGTGGCAGTCTTGACCGCCCAGGCAGCCGCTTAGTGGGCTTTGTGAACCACAAGCTCCACCTTCTTCTCACCTGGTTTAAAAACATCCTCAGGATCAGTGAGAGTAGCTGAAGGGGATTCCAACGCCATCACCGGCTCATCTACCTCTGGGATCTGTAGAAGCTCCGTGAGATCCGGGGTGACACTGTAGAATTTTTTGTCAAAGGACATGGGATTGGGATAAACCCCAGGAGAAACCTACTGCCTCTGAATTACGTCCATAAATAATCTTGGTGCTGGAATTGCCTGTTTCAGTCATGGGCTCCGAAAAAAGGAGATCAGTGGGATCCGAAGTCTCCTGAAACGTCTCAGGCTTTGATGAGTTTGTCCCTAGCCGGGTTGAACTCTTAGCCTTAAAAAGTAGTGCCTTAAACAAATGAGGCCAGAACAAACCTTTGAAGGTAGGTTGTTCCAGCGCCATACCCTCATCTTCTGATAACTCCTGATCAATCAGGCCCTCTTCCTCAGATACAGAATCTTCATTCCTCGAGGAAGGGTCCGGAGAACAGGAAACCTGATAACTCGGTAACTCCCTAGGGAGCTGAGGGGATCTCTCCTGTACCTGCAATTTTGGTTCCACTGCTGCTGTTTGGTGAAAATGCTGTCTGCCAGTATCAAACCCTCTCTTAACTGCCTCAGAAATCCATTGTTGGACTAAAGGAGGCATTTCTGAGTTGCCCTCCCCCAGCGGGCGTAGCCCCACTGCCATTGGAGTGAAGGTAGCCTTGGGTGGATGCCTTCTCTGACTTGCCACCCCCCTCTCCTGTGGTAAAGGTGAGAGGCCCTGTGGAGTCCACATGCCACCTGTTGATGGCCCAGGATCTGGTATAGAGACTGAACCTGACTCTTGTATAATTAAGCCTCCTGCCGTGCTGAGATTATCAGACTCCTGAAAGCAGGGCCAACCATAACATGCTTGTCTACAAGGGGGCTTAGGTGCTTCTTTTTCTCTTCTGCTTTTGCCCCTTTTTCCACCTGCTTCTCCAAGGCCCTTTGAAGCCTTTGCTCTGCCTTCTCCTGGGCCTTAGAAGATTTCTTGTTAGGCCTTGGATTTTGTCCTGGCTGCCGCTTCCCTGGCCCCACTCCTAGATTTAGAGGATCCATGCTTGGAGCCGCGACTGGTAGCTCTGCTCGCCTGAGCTCTGTCAGCCATCTCTCTGTGCACACGTGAAAAACTGCAGACCCTGACCTGGTCTACTAGCTCGCTTAAAAAAAAAGAAAAGAAAAAAAGAAAAAGCTTCCTGCCAGGAAAAGCCCCAAAAGAAAAATGGCTCCAATGGCCTCAGTTATCTCACCACTCCAGATCACAGTCACTCTCAGCAAGTACTAGAAGGCTGCTATACTTTGGAGATCCTGGTCTATCTCCCAGCTGAGCAGGCAGCCAAAAAGCCTCAGATCTGTCTCTATTGCAACAGATGTAGGTCCCGGTCTACCTCTCAATCAGGTAAGCAGCCTAGGAACCTCCACGTGGTCTGGGGCCGGCAATAACGCCGAGACTGCACTCCCTACTGGGAAGGCAGCCGAGAGAGCCCTCTCCTGAGTGGTACCAGCTGGTAACACTAATGGCCTTTCGGAGTAGCGTGCTCTATCTTACGGCCCCCACGCTACTCCACAATCAAAATGGCGCCTGGCCTCTTCACCGTTTCGCGCCAAGCCAGAACAAACACTGCCAGAGCCTGCAGAATGCTCCAAATGGTGCTGGCAGCCACGAGGAGCTCAAAATGTGCCTGAGTCAACCTTTCCTTCCAGCGACACCTTCCAAACCTCCCTCGTTGTGGAGTAGCAGGCTCGAGCCAAAGGCTCTTCACGCTGGCCCCCGAAAACAGCTGCCGCAGTTAGTGAAGCCTTTTCTGGCCTCCACTTTCCTGCAATACCAACTCTTCCAATAACAGTGGGCTCAAGCCTAGGGCTCTTCATGCTGTAATCTTCTCTCTCTCTTCCTTGCACTCTTCTTCCAAATCACTGTGCT